AGGGAAAGATCACAATTATTCTAAGAAATAATAGATTCAACACAATTTCTATCTCAGCACTAAGGAATTTAGATTTGTTAGAGACCAGTGGAGTGCATTATTACAGAGAACAAGTATTAAAAGAAAAATAAGAAATCATTGGAAATTCAAGCTTTGGGCCAACTCTATAACCTCATAGTCCTTGCTCCAAAAACACAGCAACAAGAGCATTAATCTGAAAGAGAAATTTAAAAAGATATACCCTCACCTAAAAGTAAAAAAAAAAAAATAAGTCTGAGGATCCAAAAATGAAACAGAAAGGCAAAATGACAGTAGGCAGGCTGAGCCACAGGCTTTCAGGGCTCCAGAAGAGGAAGAGGTAGCAAGAGCTCAGCTTTTGGGTTAATGGGAAATAAATGTCACATGGTGATGGGGCACCTACGTCCGGCTCACTGTTTGAAAGCAGGAGCTTGTGTGCCACGTGCACTCCAGGAAAGGAGGCTTAAGAAGTTACTGCTGAATGTTGATGTAGGCTATTGCTTACAAAAACCGATATATAGGGAGGCAGAAAAGCACAGGTATAACCTCTTGACAGTGAACAAAGCCAAAGCCTTCCAGCTCAGTAAATGGATCTGTAATAATCTGAAAATCTTCGTAGAGCAGAAGCACAAACTGTCAATCTCAAACTTGGGTTTGGAATAGAGGTCATGGGTAGGTGGGCCTGTGGAAGAAAATGTGAGACTGCTAGCAGGGAGAGGTGAGTGAAAACAGTAAGAGAGACACAGAAAGAAACTCCTACTCAACACGAACATGCAGAAGCTGTATGCCGAAATTTCAAAACAAATCAAAGGTTAACTTATTCTGGGCAGGTGAAACTAAATGAACTTGAAAAAGACATTTATAAAAGTTATTTAGAATGTACAAGGAGATAAAGAATAATATTCATAAAAATGGAACAGAAAATTGTAAAACCGAAACAGGCAGAAATGAAACAGGAAAAGCTATGAAGATCCAATTAGAAATATAAAAACCTAAGAATACAGTTTCTGAAATAAGAAATTCAAGCACAATAAATTTCTATAATCTTCAATAAAAAGGTTTAATTGATTGGAAGATGAATTGAAGCAGTCATCTAGAAGGCGGCACAAATAGACATAAAGATAAAAATTACAAATCTCTAAAATATGTCTAGTAAGAGTTTCAGAAGAGAAGAAAAGTAAGTAATATTCAGAAAGAAAATAATAATTTTCCAAGAATAAGAGATAAGTCAGATTTTTAAAATCTATCTCAAGGGTCAAGCTGTGTAATTAAAACAAATCCACACCTAGCAACATTGCACTGAAACTGGAAAATATCATAGATAAAATCTTAAAAGCTACACACACACAAAAAAGAAAGAAAAATTACCCAAAAAGCAACAAGAATAAGATCTACAGCACAAATTTCCTGAACAATAGACAAAAGAAGCCAATGAATAGTATATTCAGGGTTGAGAGAATCTAACAGATAATCCAGCTCAAGTGAGGGAAAATAAGGGCAGTTTCTGACAAACAAAAGACTGAAAGAGTTTACCAACAAAGACTCTTAATAAATGAACTGCTAAAGAGTGGACTTTAGCCAAAATAAAAGTGAGTCTTAAGGAAAAGAGAAACTCAAAAACTATATTGGTAAATTTAAATACCAAGTGACTTAAAAATAATCATGTGTGAACAAAGATGATGGGATGGAAGATATTCAACTGCATAAAGCATGTCAAACTCTTTGTCTTATTCAAGAGGATACAATACCAAGTAACTTTAGATTTTGAGAGGAGAATTGGTATTTAATTATACACGTTAAAAATTTTAAATGTAAGCACATGCCTATTACCACTATTATTACAAAACATTATATTGAAGATTATAATGTAATACAAGAAAATGAAATAACTAGTATAATTATTGAAAAATAAAAACTAAAGCTACTTGTCAATGGGATGTGATTGTATACCTAGGAAATCAAAGGCAAAAAAAAAAAACGTCTAAAATAAATAGAAGAATTTGGCGATGTGTTTGAATAAGATGAATATACAGAATTCAAGACCTTTTTCTTCTATATCAACAATCAGTACTAGGAATAGAGGTAAAGGGAAATATTCTATTCACAAAGGAAAGAAAATCCATAAGATAATTAGAGATGAAAATAAGCAAGGAGTAATAAGACTTAAATGAAGAAAAATATAAAATGCTACAGAAGGCAATAAAACTTGATCTAAAAGAGAAGACGTAAAGTTCTTAGATAGGAAGACGATGTCATAAAAATGTCATTTCTCTCAAAATTAATATATATCATATAATGCAAATTCAGAGAATCCTTCAGGAATGATCCTCCGTCAGGACTTGTTAATAGATGCTGCAGGGAAGTTGAATTTTACTTCACCCCACTTCACAGAAATCACTTGATAATGTATCAAGGAGGTTTTGCCTCAGTTACTTGCACCTGGTGGGTAGGGAAGGAGCCAGAATCCCCAGAATCAAAAGGAAGATGCCAACTGGGTAATAAAATCCTCCTGAGAATGGCAAATCAGGCTTCTCATAAATGGCAGATTTCTCACTTCCTGTAGGCACTACTATTCACAGCCAACATCCTTGTGGGAAACTTTGAAAGATATGAGAAGTCACATTTCTGCCTAAAACCATGTTGTGTTCTCTCTTGCTTTTTATAATGATTTCTTTCAGTTTCTCCATTTTGACCTTTAAAGAGGCTATATTCTTTAACAGTATCTGCTGGAGTCTGTCACTTACAACCTTGTCCCATTATGACAACCATGAAAATCCCGAGAGATTTTAAAAAAAAATGTATATAATAATCACAAGGTTCATATGGATGAATAAAGCAAAAAAAAAAAAACTGCTAAGAAAAACTATGGAAAAATATGGATGGGACTTACATTATCATATATTAGAACATTCTATAAAGTTATTATATCAAATCAACTTGGTATTAACATATGATTAAGAAATAGATGAACGGAATAGAATAGGAAATCCAAAAACTGATCTAGTAAAAATAAATTTTAAACGTATCATGAAGGTGATATTTGGTATTTCAATTCAATAGGACAAAGATGAATTCTTTAATTGGTTGGCAGAAACTAGCTAATCAACTGGAAGAAAATAAAATTGGGTCCTTAGCTCATATCATATGCTAAAGTCAAATTCCAGATCTATTAAAGACAGATGAAAAAAATGAAAACGCTAAGAAAACAGAAATGAAAGACAGACCTTAGAAAAATTTAGCACCCTGATAAGTCAATGAGATACCTAAGTAAAATCAAGATGTTTGACAGATTTTGAAAAACGATTCCAAAGCGGATTGATTATAGATAAAGGATTAATATCCATTCTACTTCAAGAGTTTCCATAGTTGACCAAGCAAAATATAAATGAAATAAAAATAAAAATAACAACCTAAAAGAAAAATGATCAAAGGATATGCATGGGCAATTCAAAGAAGAGCAATCATACATGGCCAATGAACATAACAAAAGATGCTCAAACTGAACAGTGGTCAAGGAAATGCAAAGTAAAGCAATTAGAAAATATCTTTTCACAGCCATTAGACTGGAATACATTTTAAAAGATAAACAACTACTGGAAACCATTGGAGGGGAAAGGTACTCTCATGTATGGCCACAAGAGGCAGTATAGTAATAAACAGGGTAGAATGGCAGGCTCTGACCACGTGAGTGATCTTAACAGCACTTCACTTCAGACTACTAATCTGTGAAATGAGGATAATAATATATCACATGACAGTCATGAGTACTAAGGGAGAAAAAAATCTAGAGCCACAAAACAATGCTTGGCATAGTGCAATCATTCAATAAAAGTTGACTATTATAATTACTGATGGTAGAAATGTAAATTGTTTCAACTTTGTAAAGCAGCTTGGCAACATCTATTAAGATTTAAAATACACATACCCTTTGACCCAGAAAACACACTCCAGGGAATTTATCTCACAGAAATAGGAAACTTCTTAGCACATTTGCCAAAACTGGAAACTGAAGTGAATG